CACCCACCCTCACAGATCTGTGCAACCATGCACCCTGAAAACATGGCAGACAAATCAGTGGACCCTGGACCTGTCCACCCACCTCCTCGTCACCCTCTAGGTGAAGCTGGGCTTTGTGAGGGGGCTGCCACCCCCTTGTCCTCCTAGTGATCGTCTCCTGGGCACCTTCATGCCATCTGAGCCTTTCACAGAAGTCACCATGGCCGCAACGCTGCTGCCCGTGTTCCAGGGCGAAGCACGACCCACACCTGCCTGCGTCTGCGGCTGTTCAGCACCAGCTGCGTCAGGGCTGGCTGTCCAGGAAGCTCGGGCTCCGATCTGAACAGCTTCCCTTTCCCTCCTGTCATAGGAGGCGGCCTTCACCCCGGCCTGGACTGACGCTGTCGCCCGGAGGCTGCTCCTCCCAGAGCAGCACAGCGCTCTCGGGCATCCAAGGGCAGCTCAGCCTCCTGCTGCAGGGTCAGCACAGAGTGGCCTCATTGTTCCCGGCTGCCCGTAAAGGCTCAGCAAACACAAAGCACGCGGGGAACAAGCCAGGAAAGCTTGGTGCTGCAGCTGAATGGCCACTTTAAACATCGAGGCCCAGGACCAACTCACCATGGGAAGGAAGGGAACTGTTTAAATCTGCATCACAGCTGGGTTCAGGCTCCAGCTCTCTCTGAGTGATCTGAATTTTTGATCAAGTCACGACATTAACCTCCCAGGCTTGTTTCTTCCTCTGCAAAGTGAAGTTATGGGAAAGAGAGACTGACAACAAAGCCACCCCTGGGGTGACAGGGAGCTCCAGGAGCAGCTGAGGGGAAGCGTCCGCCCCTCTGCACACCCAGCACTCTCGGCACAAGCGGGCCTGGTGCAGACACTGAAAGGAGGCAGCGTTCACTGCCATCACAAAGGCTCTGTCTCCATGGGAGGCAGCCCCTTGTCACAGCCGCAGATGTATAGCAGACAGCTGTCCTCTCAGGACACGGGTCAAAAGAGCACCTCTGGGAGGAGTGCGCCCTGCTGGGGGTCGGGAAGACTTCCCTGAGCAGTGTGGGCATCATGAAGCTGGACTCTGCCAGGCAGGCTCCGTGACCTGCAGCTGCCAGCAAGCTGGAGGGATGAGGACACCGAGCAGCGCCCTGAAGAACGCTCCTGACATCCTCTGGCCAAAGGCTGAGCACACCTGCTCTTCCTTTCCGGGAAACAGAGCAGAGGAACCTGTGACACACCTCAGGGACGTCACTCCACAATCCAGCAGGTGAGAAACTCCTAGAGATAAGGGAGCTGGTTTCTGAAAAACATTCTGCAGTGAAAGAAAAGGAGGGCAGAGAACCTGCCCACCGCCTGGGTGAGCTCTGCAGACCCTGCTTCAGAAGAGCCAGCTGGGGAAACCGTGGGCAGCTGGGAAACTCGAGCACTGAACTGCTTCTGTGGCGACGTCCCAGTATCTCTCACCCTTGCGGCCACACAGCTAGCGTGGTTCGGTGTACAGAGCATCTTATCTCTGCGCACTGACACACTGACAGGTGAAGTAATTTGATGACTGAGTTTGCTTTGAAATCACACTCACTCTGTGCCCAACGCTTTGCTCAAGGCCGTGACAGCATGCAACACAGCTGGGAGGACAGCAAGGTGAAAGGGCCACCAGTCCTGCGAGAAAGCACAGGAAACTGCCAGCAAATCACACAAACCAGAGCAAAGAGGGCTCTTTCAGGAGCAAGTTCCAAAGACCTGCGCAGGCTGGTGCCCAGGAGCTCAGAGGTGGGAGCCCACAGGGGCAGTGGCAGGAGCTCGGGCACCGTGTGCCATGTTCTGCTCACCAGTGTCTCCAGCTGGACTTAGTCCCTTAGCAGAGGCAGCGGTACTGGCCCCTTCCTATGTCCATTAACTAGGACAGAGGTCACCAACAAGTGGCATCTGTTTCACCCTGCAAGATGGAGCAGGAGACAGGGGAGGGTCAGAGAGAAGCAGACGGCCAAGGACGGATGTGGCAACGAGAAGGAGCAACAGAGGAGCAGGTGGGGGTGCCACCAACACCCTGGGGTGCGCTTGGAAGGCAGCAGGAGGGAGGGGGCCGGGGGCTCTGCCATGCAGCACAGCCAAGCAGGAGGCCACGCTGGGCCAGGGGACCGGGGTGCTGATACCGTGGCCACATGAGCAGGAAAGGCTGCTTGCCCGAGCCTAGTAATAAGGGCCACAGAGTCACAGAGGGGGCAGCCAGGGCTTCAACCAGGAGAACATCCCTGAGGGGGTACACTGTGGGGGGCCAGCAGCCTCCCAGATGCCACGCCCAGGAACAGTGGGGCCGGGTGCAAGCTGTTCCGTCTCCTCGGACAGCTCGGCATACAGCAGCCAAGAGAGCGCTAGCGACAGTCATGCACCCTCCTCTCTTACAGTCACTCCACATTCCTTCCACTTAAGAACTGCTGTCACCGGCTGTGCGGACAGAGAGAGTGAGAGAGGCGCACAGCTGCAAAGCAGCAATGGCAGAAAATTCGACTTTCACAGCAACCACAATGAGGCTTCTCTGATGGAAAGCAGCAGCACCCCACATTAACGCGAGCCTCAGTCAATACTTTTAAAAGCTGTCACCTGCTTGGCTTCAGGTTGCGTGTGTGTTCACAGAAGTCTCATCTTCTCTGATTCCTATGTCAGGCCAGGCTGAGGAAAAGGCTGCTAGAAGCAGCCAGGTCAGAACCTTCCACACGTGGTGGAGGAGCAGGACAGGAAGCACCTGCCCTCGGTGGTTGCAGCTCACACAAAACACTGCCAGCTGCAGCACTGACACAGTCTCATCAGAGTCTGTGTGCCACACTGCTGCACTGTGGATGGCACCAACTGAAGTTGGACTCTTCTAGGACAAAGCAAAGGGCCACAGAATCTTGGAGGCCCCGGGGGCGAGGCCGCCGGCAGTGGCGAAGTGAGGGACACTGATGTTGCTCCTACTCAGTCCTCCGAAGCACAAGACAGACACACACCTGGGGGTGGACCTGTCCTGGGAGGAAGCTTCCCACGCTGCAGCCTCTCACATAGGAGGTCAGACTAGATCCCTATCTCTAACCTTGCAAAAACTCAACTCAAAATGGAGCAAAGACCTGAAACTTCGACACTGTGGGAAGAAAACAGGGAAAACACTTGGAACCCTAGGCACTGGCAGAAACTTCCTGAATAGGACTCCAGTAGCACAGGAAATAATAGCAAGAATCAACAAATGGACTATGTCAAAGTAAAGTTTCTGCACAGTAAAGGAAACAACCTACAAGGTAGAAAAGCCTGTAGACTGGGAGAAACCCTTTGCCAGCTACTCTTCCACCAGATTAGTATCTAAAATATATATAAAGAATACACAAAAAATTAACAACAAAGAATAATCAAATGGCTTAGTCAAGAGTTGGGCAAATGAACTGAATCGATATTTCTGAGGAGTACAAATGGCCAATAAATGTATTAAAATGACATAACGTCTTTAGTATCGGAGAAGTGCAAATAAACACTGCACTGATGGGGCTGGGGATTTAGCTCAGCGGCAAAAGCGCCTGCCTGGCAAGCGCAAGGTCGTGAGTTCGGTTCCCGGTACCGGAGAAAAACCAAAAAAAAAAAAAACCAAAAAAAAACAACAAAACACTGCACTGAGATCTCATCCCAGCCCGGTCAGGATGGCCGCCCTCAGAGGTTATTGTAAACACAACACATGCTGCAAAATGGGGAAAAGAAGGGACTCTGCTATACCGCGGTGGGAATGTAAATTAGAAGAGCCCCTGTTTCTACAAAAAAAAACCTGAAAACAGAGCTACTGTGTGATTCAGCAACAACACTCCTTGGTACACACCTAAGAAATTAAAGTCAGCATGGCAGGCACCAGTGATGGCGAAGCTTTTAGAGACACGTGCCCAAATCACAACCCCAAACCCACTTATTTACCACAGAGTACCAACACTGCAATTAAACCCAAATCCTGAAGTTTTAGTTTAGAAGGAACAAGTGTTCCCCGATGCTCGGCTGCTGGGGCCACTTGGCTCGCACGCTGACAGAGAGGGCTGTGTGTGCGCTGCAGCACGAAGGTCACAGCTTCTCCACCACCAGGATAGCGACACCTCTCACCCACGTTCACTGTGGCACAACTCACAGGAGCCAAGACACAGAACCAGCCCAGGGCCCACCAGCAGATGAATGGATGAGGGCAATGTGATATAATACACCGTGGAGTATTATTCAGCCAGAAAGAACTTAATTATATAATTTGAAAGTGGATGGATCTGCAGATCATGAGTGAAAAAAGTAGACTCAGAAAGAAGGCATCTTATGCTCTCCCTAATGTGAGAAACACAAAACAAATGAGGTGGAGAGGAGAAGCGGGGTGACCAGAAAGAGGAAGGGAATGGGGAGGGCACAGGGTGGTGGAAATGACACACTTATTATACTCACCAAGCCCAAATGTTATAAAATCAATAAGCGCTAACAACAAAAAGCTAAAATCTTTTTAAATGTTAGTTTCCTGTTTTGAGGTACTATCTAGCGCTGCACCATCTGATAGAGTTGCTGTAGCCACAGCTGGCTCTGGAGTGCTTGCAACACGACCAATCTGAATTGAGGTGTGATATATGTGTAAAATACTTCCTGGCTTTCTAAGCATGAGAAATAATAGGCACCGTGCAGTAATTTTAAATATTGATTGTATGTTGAAGTGATAATTTAAAATAGGAAAATAAAATCATTATTAAATTTTAGAACTTGTGCATTTGTGACAGCTGGGGAAGACTGGGGAGCAGTGAAGACTCGGCAGGTGGGCGTGTCCCTCCTCTCTACCGGCCTCTGCATCCAGGGGAGCCCAGACCACCACCTGCCCGTTATCCACAGGGAGGGGGCCAGAGGACCCAAGGGTCCCTCCTTCCCACGGTGGCCTTCCTGCTGCACCCTCTTCTGTGCAGGACGAGCCCCCAGTGTGGTAAGAAAGCAACAAAACCAGCACCAGGGATGTCACCAAATACCCAGGACTCCAGGGTGGGGAGCCAACTCACCATCACCTGTGCTCAGGGGATCCTGGGGGTCTCCTGGAGGTGAAAGCCATTTCTGGGGAGCTGCCAGTGCAGAGAGGGGCCTCGGCACTCTTGAGGGGTTATGCAGAATGTACCGCGGTCCTGGGTCACCCTGTCTGGCAAGCACGGGAGGCCTCCGAGCAGTGTAGGTGCCACGGGCTGCCATCAGGTGCTGTCTGTCCAGGCTGCTGTCAGCCTTCGGGCTGAGCTCGTCTGGCTGAAGCCGGCTGAGGGTGCGCAGTGGGAAGGCCTCAGAGTGCTGGACCTGGGTCATGGGAGGGTAGGTCAGTGCAGACGCACGAGACATGTAGGTCAAGATGTTCTCAGCGAAGGGCACCTCGTCCTGCAGGGCAGAACAAAATAGTGTGAGCCAAATCCCCACCAGTTGCCACCACCAACACCCACACAAGATGGAACTGGGCTTGGTGTTTAAGGCCCTGGGCAGCACCAGGTATCATTGAGCCATGAGCACACGGCCTCCCCTGGGCCAGCCAAGTCCCTGCTGCACTGGTTTTAACAGCAGCTTTATTGATAGAAGTCACACGTGTCAGTGGGTTTTCCCGTACTCAAAGAATTGTGTGAACATCACACCAGACACCTCCACAGCATTCTCACTGCCCCCAACATAAACCCCATTCATATTCTCACTTCCCACCCTGGGTCAGGCAGCCACGTTTGCTTCTTGTCTCTGTGCCTGTGCCGTGGATTTTTCAGGTTCCAGGATCTTCCAGTGGCCTTCTGCGTCTGGCTTCTCCCAGTTCTTAGGGTGCACACCCTGCAGCATGTGTCAGGGTGCCCTTTCTTCTAAGGCTGAGCACTGTGCCTGGTGTGTAGACATCACACTCTATTTATTTATCAGTTGGTGGACGTTTGCATTGTCTTTAGTTTGGGGCTATTTTGAATAATGCTGCTATGAACATCTGTGAGCCAGTTTTGGGGTGTACATGTCTTTAAGTCTTGGGCATCTACGTAGATGTAAAATAGCTGGGTCAGTTGATAACCACGTTAAAATTCTGCAGACCTGCCCACGCTGTCTGGCACAACCACACCATTTCCAGCCCCACTGGTAAGGTACGAGGGACGCAGACTGTGCAAAGCCCCTCCATGCCCTAACAGCCTCCTGACTGGCAAGGGCTCCCACGGAGGATCTATTTGCAGATGCACCCTGTCCTGTGCTGATGGTCATTAGTATCTTCTTTGGAGAAATGCATGCTCCAGTCCTCTGCTTGTGCGGCGGCTCTCAGCACGGGGCCCCTGAAACCGCGTCTGCAGGTCTTCGTCAGTGCAGCTCTGTTGTTCCTCCTCTGACACACTGCTGGATCCCACGTGTTGGGCAGCAATATTCTGCAAAGGGAGGTTGTCAGGGTCTCTTGCTTAACAAACACCTGTGACACTGCTTTCCAGTCTATTCTCTGCCCAACACAGTCTTTCCCTGGATCCCGTCTATACTTTCTCCTCACTCATCTAGTGGGCGTTCCCAAGAGGATGCGTCCCCTTTTCACTTGTGTCTGCTGTTAGACTCTTCAAGGCCTGGCGGCTGTGGTGAAAATGGTAGACGCCTCAGTGTTCGGCTTTGCCTATGCTTCCATCAAGATTTCACACAGTGGTTTCCAACTTTAAGACCTTCACCAGTGAATGCTGTCCTGGAAGTGCACCAGCCACCTTGGTGGTGGAGAGGTCCTGGGGCTACGCAGCTTCCAATTGTGCCTGGGTCAGTGGGCACATCCCTTCACCCAGATGAGGCTGTAGAAGCCACAGTGGGCTTTCGGGCAGGTGCCCAGACTCCAAGGCCAGCTGTTTTCAGGGAGAGAATTGCATGTAGGAAGTGAGAGCCTGGGAAACTGCTTGACGGGGGCCTGGTTTCAGCCCTCACATGTGAACTTGGGCAAATCACTTCACCTTCTGAGACTTGCTTCTTCTGTCAAGCAAGAGTTTGGACACTGTCTCTAAGGTTTTTTATAATAACTTTTGAAATGATGTGACTTCAGCTACCATCCAGATTGTTTAATTTTGTCTGAGGACTAGCTAAAGTCAACTGTTCTTTCTTCAGAAAAGAGAAAGTAAGCTGAGAGAGACAGAGACAGACAGCACACCAGCCTGCTGTCCCAACAAACAGCCCTGCAGCAATTTCCCGCAAATTGGGGCGAGTGTCAATCGCGGGCCCTGCCTGCGCTCCCTTCAGCAAGGCTGCTTCTGAACACCTGGCCAGGTCACTGTGCTGGCGGCTGGGGACTCTCATCCAAACACCTCATTAATGTGCCGTGGCGTCTCCCCTCTCTCTGCAAGGATGCAGCCTAGGCAGAAGCTTCCACTCGCAGGATTCTAATTAAAGTCGCGATGGACAGCTCCAGGCAGAGGCCACGCCAGGCTTAGCACAAGCATTACGAGATCACAGCCGCTGTGCAACAGGCCGAGATGAGCAATCTGCTGTTGGTTTGTTTATGTTCTCAATCAAATTAAGGTGAAGAGGAGAAAAGAAATATCAGTGGGCAGCACAAACAACAGTGATGGTAGAAATCACAGCAAACATTGCTTTCACACTTCTGCCGGGTCCTCCGTAAGTGGCCCAAGCACCACGTACCCTCAAGGACTGACCACAGCCTCAAGGTGACCATCCCCTCCCTGTGAATTTAAGTTCCAACGTAACTATCTTGTTGGGTTTCCTGAGATAATGCTGGATAAATTTTGATGCTGAAGCTGCCCAAGCCCAGAAATTAGCAACCTAGAAGCAGCAACATTTCTGGCTTCTGAGGACCTCAACAGTGCATAAGAAAATGAGTCAGGAACTGCTGCCAGGTGCCGAGACGAGATGAAATGACTTCCTCCAAACCATGTCCTTCTCCCAAACCATTTCTACACAAGACGTAGGAACCACTCACCCATACCCTGAAAAAGAACAGTGGGAAAGAAGGCTCGTTTGGAAGCATGCCCCAATCCTGGCAGCACAACTCAGCAACTTGCACAATTTTGAACCACATATGTACCTTCTTTGAACTTCACTTGTACCATACCAAAATTTAAAAAAAAAAAAAACAAAAAACTGGGAAAACATTCCCTTTCTGTAAAAGCAGCTGTATTAGGGAGAATATAGGAACAGGTGCCTACCTCAGCAAAAGCCCAGAGGATTTGATAAGTGGGAGTCACCATCAGCAGCACCCCCACCACCAACACAAGCATCATTGTGTCAACTGCAGCATCTCCATGGTCAGGATCTCCACCACTACTCCTGCAGTATCCCCACCAACACCACCTGCAGCATCATTCCACCAGCACTGTCAACAGCATCCTCCCCACCAACACCACCTGCAGCATCCCTACCATCACCAGCAGCATCCTTCCATCATCACTGTTAGCACCATCGCTCCCACTGCCGCTGACACCATCCCACCTCATCAGTGGCAGCATCCCACCAGCAGCATTGCCCCACCACTACCAGCAGCAGCATCGCACTGCTTCTGGTGCTGTGTGCCAAGCTCTCAATTATATTCTGTCGGGTAGAGTAACTCAGACGTGGCTCTTCCACAAAAAACTTGCAGGCTGATGTGAGAGTTAAGCCAGAGTAGTCAATAACTGAACTAATTTGGAAGCAGCATCAGAAGCATGAGGAAAGCAGCACTAGTTTAGAAGTGATTATGTTGTGTGGGGCAGATCAGGGAGCAGCCTCCCTACCTGCCCAGCAATGAGGGTGCTCTAGGTTGATCGGACTGTGCAGTCCCAGAAATGATCACTGGGACTCCTGTCACTGGCCAGCACATCTCCACCCAGGGCACAAGTACACTCCAGGCTGTCGGGGAGAAGGAGGTCCCAGAGTCCCATGGGACTGGGAGTGAGTGAGGCTCGTGTCTGCACACTGGCTGCTCACGCTTGTCAGATATTCTCTTGTGCCCGGGTCCAGAAACAAATTAGAAAGCTCACATCAGGACAACTTTCGACCACATAACACATGTTTCCTCCTGCCTGCCTCACAGCCCGGGGCGGAGTTGACAGGCGCGGTGATCAAGATGAGGTTGCTGCCAGCCTGACAGAACACGCAGCATTCGGGCAGTCCACAGGCCTCCTAATGAGCCGGCACCACAGTGCCACCAGGTCACTCAGGGCCACAGGTGTGGCAGCATGGAGCGAGGCCACAAGGGGTCTTGAATGCCTGTCATCTCTTGTTTGTTCATGTCGAGCCACTTGGGCGTGCAGGGTGTGGAGGGCTCGTGGTTTACTCTTTCTGTGTCTCTGTCTCTGTGGTTTATTTATCTACATGCGCTCTCCACACTCCTCCTGCATCTCTGTCTCAACATGTGCTTCAGTCCAGGCTCTGGAGACCCCCACCACACACAGGGGAGAGGCCAGTGGGCAGCCCTTCTGGCCAGCAGTGCTGCTGCTCTCAGGGACCAGAGGAGGCCACCATGTGAGTCATAGCAACACCCTGACCGTAGCCCAGCCCCTGGCAGCCCTCAGAGGCCTCCAGATCTAGGAGGTTGGAGAAGTGTTAAGTTCTAAAGCACAGGATCGAGAACTGAGCAGGAAGCTGATAGCACAGTGCACCACGGTGTCAACACAGGGATGACTTTGCTTTGCTGCAGGCCCAGGGGAACGGGGCTGGGGGTTTGCTCCTTGCCTGCTCTGGCCCAGCCGCTCCTACCCCACTGCTCACTGCTAGCCTCCTGGCCCTGTGGCCTCCTGGTTGTTACATCTGCAGCCCATATCCAGCAAATGAGAGGCAAGGAAGATGGAGGCTGAGTGTGCCAGTCCATTTCCCGTTCACTTGCCCATCGAACCACCTGGGCACAATGACCCTGGCTTTGATTTCACTCTCACTGACGCTCTCAACTCCATGGCGTAGACAGGACCACCCCCATTGTGTAGATAAGATGAGACTTCCACAGAGTGAGATGGATCCCCCTGGCAGAACATGATGGAACTTGCTCGGCTGAGTCTGGAGAAGGAGCATTTGTGAACATCTTTTTCTGCTCAAAAACAAAAAACAAGAAGCTGGGTTTGGTGGCACACACCCGTGGTTCCAGCTACTCAGGAGGACAGCAAATTCCAGGCCACTCTGGGAAAGCTGTCAAGACCTTTAAAATAAAATAAAAACAGGCTGGGGATGTAGTCAGTGGTAGAGTGGCTGCCCAGCGTGTGCAAGGCCCTGGGTTCCCCTTCAGCACCATTAAAAAAAAAAATCAAGAAAAAAAGTGGGCAAGAATTCTAGGTTCTGATTTCAGCTCTGTCTCCAACTGACTGTTTGAAAGTGGCCATTCTACTCTCCCAGCCTCAGTTTCCTTGTCTATGAGGGACAGGAATGCACCATGCTCTGGGGCCTTCTCATGTTACTGTGATGGTGCCACCAGCAGGCAGGCTGTCCTCAGTGACAGGGCATTCTCTGTCTCCTGAGCCCACCCACTCCACTCTGCTGAGAGTCCAGCTGGGGCCGGCACCACAGTGTGCCCCATGCACGGGACAGAAGCTAAGTCGGGTTAGAGAGAGGAAGAGGCTTCATTCACCCCCGACAGACTCCACTAAAGTGGAATGTGACAAAGACACACTTCACAGAGGCTCGGCCCCTACTGACCTTGAACATTCACACCCTGCCCATCCTGCAGGTCACCACAGTGGCCCGGCATGGGTACTTCCTCAGAACCACGGTGTTGGGGGAGAAACACAGGGTGGGAAGTCTCAATACAAGTAGCAAATACAAGCAGCTCAGCTGCACCGGGCAGAGCTCCATTCAGTCAAGCCCAGGTCCCCTGTCACTGCCAGCAGGAAGTCAGGCGACACTCAGCAACGGAATCAGGGGCCCCAGCCCAGGGGACACTGCTGTGGGAGCAGAGCATGGAACACTGGGCCTGCAGATGCCCATGGGGCTCAGCTTCTCTCCCCACAGGCATAAAGAATAAGGATGTGTACTTTTCTTTTAATATATTTGTACAGTTTTGAACCACTGAAATTTATTAAGATTTATTTTATGGCCCTGCAAATGATCTACCTTGGGAAGTAATCTGTGTACTTAAAGAACATGTACTTGGTAGTTTGGGGGTGTATCATGGCAAATATCAATGAGATCAGCCTGGTGGATAGTGTTGATCCAATCTTTTATATCTTTACTGACATTTTATCTACTTGTTTAATCAGTACTGAGAGAGGAAGGTTAAAATCTCTAATATTGATTATAGACTTGGACATTTCTCTCCTTAGTGTTCTCATGTTTTGCTTTTGTCTGAAGTGCAAACAATAGGTCCATAAAAAGATTTCTGTGTTGTAATGAACTGATCAGTTAATCATTGAGGAGTCGTGCAGAGTGTGTCTCTGGCAGTGTCATCTGACTTGAGGTGGCTTTGTCTAACTGGCACAGCACCCCAGCTTTCCTATCCATCAGGCTCCCCTCTGCACATTCCCCTTCTCTCAGTTCCATTTTTGGAAGGAGTGACAGGTGGGTGGTGTCAGTCCACCTTCCTCACAGGGATGACACAGTTGCGTTGAGGCTCTGGTGACCGACCTCTCGATGCTTTACAGTTGGGTGCCAGGAAGCACGGGAGCTTGGGCTTGCTGAGCTCATCCAGCTGCTTGTGGAGTCGGAGAGGGTTGGGGAGGTCTCTGGACGTAGTGTTCTGAGTCCACCCACATCTTCCACAGGGACTTCGGGTTGTCCTTCCAATGTCAGCCTCCACAAGATCTCTCCCAACAGCTGGCCCATTTTTCAACCCTATTGGTGATAGTCTGTTGTCTCTCTTCCCAGTAAAACTGTAAAATTCTACAAGACAGGGACTTTTATCTTTCCAGTGCCAGCACAGTTTTTTGTATATTAAATATATTTTTACAATGTTTCTAAAACAAATCAATTGATGGTATTGCCAAGCAATGAATTTGGCTTCAAGCCCCTGATGACGCAGTGAACTGGTGGCTTGATGGTGCTCTGGGACTAGGAGGACTCCAGCCAGTGCTGCAGTACTCAATAAATAAGAAGTCGGGTCCCCCACTAACTGTGCAGAAATAACGGTAACACTTTGATTTAGCAATCCATATGAGCTCAATCGGCGTGCCAGAGCTGTGAGCCGGGCGGTTTAAGACAAGCAGTGTGATTTCATTCCCTCTGGCTTCTGTTATGAAGTAATCAGCGTAAGACCTTTGAAGATAATAAATTCAGAACGTGTCTCTGACTATCTATGCTAGAGTCAGATTTCTGATGATAGATACATAGCAAAACATGATTTGTAAATAATTCATTGGAAATTGGTTGCACCTTGGAAGTCCATCAGCAGATCAAGCTTAAATTTCCAAATGAACTATTTCATCACCAGAGTGGAGAGGGGTTCGACAGTGCTGCCCAGATCCCCAGCTGGCCCAGGCCCAGCAGCAGTATGGAGGCCCCCACATGCGTCTCTTGCACTTTATCCTGGCCCTGCTTGTTAGCAAATCTTAGGGTGACTAAGATTTCTCCTTATTCACACACTGGACAGAGAGAATAATGAGTTCTGCTTTTTTATGGTTTTTGTTTGTTTGTTTGTTGTTTTTTACAATAGAGAAGCATCTGTCTTAACAGAGAAGACAAAAGCCTAAGACAGAAATGCCACCCAGGGCTCAACTTCTGGATAACCTGTGACCGGCACACTCTGCCAGCTAAGTGGCTGGACAGCCGCAGGCTTTGTTGGCTCACACGGGGCCACAGCAAGAGGGGGAGACGGGCTACTGAGCATTACTCTGGGCAGCGGTGTACACTGGCCCTGTCATAGCATGGTCGCCCACAACATGGGTCACCTACCTCGTGGGGTCCTTCAGATCACATGATCAAACTTAGGGCAAGGTGGAAGCCACTGCTGATGCGTGCTAGCAGTTCCCTGAGCCAGTGCCCTCCCATCGCTAGTTCTTGACGGAGGAGCAGGTGGGCACCCGGGCTGTAGGGAAGGCCATGGCAGCAGGCATCCACAGACACCCGCCAGCCCCTCACAGGCCCCTCCAGGCACAGGTGTGTGGCGGAGGCAGCCTGTTCACCCTGCAGGGTAGGGCTTCGTTTCTAAGGCCTGGGTGTTTCCTGCACGTGGGGTTGCTAACAGCAACACCAGGCAGACATGAGGACTCAGCAACTCAGGCTGCTGTGTGTCTTGGGGGTAAATTCCAGCTCAGATCTAATGCTTTCACCGGGGCAGGAGGCTGCCTTAGTGACACACCTCCACTGAAGGAGCAGTGTGGTGTGGTCCAGAGCTGAACCACAGGAAGCCAGTGGTCACTGCAGTGAGACCTCAGGTGAGTAGTGGCCCCAAGGGAGGGGTCAGCTCTGCCTCCCAGCCTCATCTCCTCCTTGCCGCTGGTTCTGTGGAGGAAGCAGGTGTGCACATCACCATTACCCTGCAGGAAGACGTGAAGCCCTCACAGAAAATTCCATGCGCTTCCTTGCGTTGGAACTCTGGTGGAGTGTCGGGACTTCCCACTGCTCCCCTTCTTCCCTTGCTTCTCTAAGCCGGGCTTGTGTGCTGATGACTCGCCCACACTCTCTGGGACAGGATGGGGGGTCTTGGGCAGCCTGAGTGGACGTGCTGTGAGCACTGTGATCACGACACACAGATGAGAGAGGAAGGCAGGACATAAGCAGTGTGTGTACCTCTGAGTCATCACAGGTCCAGGGGACAGGGCAAAGGTGGTCCCCACTGCCTTGTGAGCAGAGGAGGCCGGCACTGTGTGGCAGAGCAGCCGTACTTGCTCTGGGAGCCTGGAGCCCTCTGCTCCCCCAAGAATCACAGAACTCCACAGGCATTCAGAGCTTCCATCTTATTTTTGAAAGAGAGTTGCCTTAATAGTGATGTCATTACAGCTACCGTTACCGGAGCACTGCACAAGCAGCTCCGCGTGACTTCTCTTGCGCAGTTCTCACAACCACTTCACGACCTGGGACGGAGGAAGAACAACTTCCCGAAGGCCACAGGGCGTGGAAGGCAGCGGGGAGCAAGGCCTGAGCCGCCCTGCATTGTGCGTATCTTTCCCGTCACTGATTCCCGAGGAAAAGGTCCGTGTGAAATCCATTTTACCCCAGGACATGTAGCTGTGTGTCTAGCATATCCAGAGCACACACTCATTATCAGTGAAAGAATAAAGCTCGAAGTTTCACAGTTTTAAATTAACAGCAAGCAGACCAGGCTCACATGGGCAGGACGCCCAGAGATAGCTCCTACGGGTTGCCACAGGAAGGCTTCAGGACGTGACTTCCGCCCAGTCTTGTCTGCGCGGACATGGCAGGGTTGCCGCATGCTGGACATCCCTGCACTGTCTTCTACCTGAGAGCTCCACAGCCCCGTCACCTGCCCTCTGAGGGCTGAAGACCCCACTCTGGGCCACAGGGAGCAACTCCACAAACCAGGAGGCCTGGGCCGACATAGACACGGCAGACTCTCTGGGGCGGCCCCAGGGTTGGGCTTCCGCGTGTGCCTGGGGCAGTGTTGGGGCTCTGCCCTGAAGCCCCTGTGCCAGCTCGAGGGTGGGCGGCAGAGGAGCGAGAGGGGCTGTGCAGGAGTTCCCTCAGCTCTGCTCTGGGGCCAGGATCCAAGCGGGCCTCGCAGGTCTCGTCCGTGCCACGTCCTCAAGGCATTTGACCTTCAGTGTGGGGTTTGCCCTTCGCCTGTCTGGCACACCGGTCTTGCCTCTGGTGCCCAGGCCCCAGTGCCCATGGCAGGCAGAGTCCCCTGCAGCCCTGGTCACCCAGCCAGGCTGCTCTTCCTGGGAATGAGGGTCTCAACTGATGGGTGAGTGCAGCATTGAACCGTGACCCTGGGCACCAATCCCCAACCCCAGCAATGCCCCGTCCATGCTGATGCCCACTGCTGCCCCGGGTCCTTTCCTGCAGGGCCCGGGTATCCTGCCTGTGCTCACAGCAGCGGCTCCTTGAGTGGCACTGGTACCAGAGGAGAGCTCCTGAGGCCCCCACCCGAGGCTGCTGGGACACCACCTCGACACAGATGCTGCAGCACCAGCGAGCGCATGCACCCTAGGCCCGGAGCTGCCCCACAAGCAGCCCTCCCTGCACTGCCCCCGCTGGGGACCCAGGAGAGCAGGCAAGAGGAGGCACAGTCACGGAGCCCAGAGAGGGGCAAAGGCCACAGCAGGGGTAGGCTCACCTTGGCCAGCAGCTTCTCGTGCTCCCTCCTGCGGTGCGTGCTCAAGCCTGCAGTGTGGGACAGAGCCTCCAAGTAGGACAAGTAGCGCTGCAGGGTCTTGGCCAGGACCACATCCTCCTCCAGGCTGTACTGCCTCTCAGTATCCACATTCTGCGGTGAGGTCCTGAGAAGCAAAGCAACAAGTCAACTGTGTGCGTGGTCTGTGGGAGTGAGCTGCGGATGTGGACAGGAGTGTGGGATGTGCACTGCACAGCTCAGTGGTTCCCCCAGGGATGTAGCCACGAGGTCCACCTGCACCCAGTCCACACTCTGCCCCTCCCTGACAGTGGGTTGGTTTCTCTGGACCCTGAGCCTCCTAGGGAACGGACAAATGGCCCAGAAGAGCACTCCCCCCTGGGAGAGGCGGAGGATGAGGCTACAGCAGCGAAGGGGGCACAGGGCTGGGTGTAGGACGGCCGCTGCCGTGGGCGCTGAAAGTGAGGAGGGAATGTGGCCCCTACAGAAGCCAGATACAGCCCATCACGCATCTTCAGGGGCTTCTGGAAGACTCATGCCTGAGCCCAGTGATGCCTGCCAGCCAGTTTGTATTGTTTTCTGTCTCTGCATTGAGTTTGTTACGCAGGACAGGGAACCAATATGGTGGCCTGTGCCCCGAAGCCTGACTACTGCTTCGTTAGACAGCATGCTGGCACCTTCTACATGCACACAATCTAGGCAGACAGGTCTGAGCCCAGGATGCCTGGTCAGGTGCTTCCGTGGACACGATGGGCGGGGCTCACTCTGGCTGGAGTGGGAGGCATGGACATCAAGACGAGGCCACAGCAACCCAGGCACCACCACAGCATGGCCCTCCAGGTCCACACCACAGCGCACCTGGGGCCAGGCACCACCACAGCATGGCCCTCCAGGTCCACACCACAGCACACCTGGGGCCAGGGAGCAGTGTGGTGTGCCCAGACATGAGCGTGGGGTACTATGGCTACACTGTCTGGTGACTTATACACGCTTGATGAATGCCTCGGCATTGCAGGTGGATGTAACCCATCACAAACCCCCAGGTAAAGAAACTGGGGATTCGGGCAGAACACCTGGTCCTCAGGAATGAGCCAGGGAAGGTGTGCGATACCTGTATGTATTAAAATGGTCACTATCATTAGCCACCAAGGAATTCAAACAAAACTACAATAAGATCTCACCAAGTGGAATGGCTATTACAAAACAAGACAAAGAATATCCAGTAGTGGCGAGGATGTGGAGACAGGGGACTCTGTAACGCTAGTGGGAATGTAAGTGAACATGGTCACCATGGCGAAGTGTAGAGACTCCCTCAAACTGGAGAACAGATGTCGCATATGCCCAGGTGCCTCACTTCTGGGTATATATCCTAAGGTGATCCAATCGGCATGGCAGAGGAACACCTGCACTCCCATACTTATTACAGCCCTGCTCACAGCGCAGAAGATGTGGAGTCAACACAGGTGCCCATCAACAGATGAATAGAGAGAGGGAATGCTGTCTATGCACATAGTGGAATATTATTCAGCCACAAAGAAGAATAAAACCTGTCATTTGCATAAAGATGGAACTAGAGAATATTTTGTCAAGGGAAGTAGTCCAGACAGAAAGACAAGTACTGCACATTCTCCCTCAGATGGAGAAGCTGAAGACAGTCACCTTGAATGTAGAATAGTGATGGGCGGTTAGAAAGGAGAGGGGGACAGAGAGGGGTGAGATAACAGGCACCAAATGCAGGTAGAGGGATGAGTTCCAGTGCTGCAGAACAGGGGGGTGATTACAGCTCGCAGTGACCCACGGCAAACCTCATGAAAAGTAGCAGCGAAGAAGTGATAAGGACAAGGATGTGCTGATCACCCTCACTGGATCAGCGCGTGCTTGTGTATGTGCTGAGATATCACACACACCCATTAATGTGTGCGGTGAATACACGTTAATAAAAAGTTCTAGGGTGAGATTTTCCCAAACCTTCCTATTGTATGGGATCATCTTGGTGGATAAATCCACCCTTTTTATTTCTAGTGCCTCTTTCAAGTACATTGTCTCAGGCTTAAATAGGCATATAATTTATCAGGTGATTCAGGTCTTTATGTTTCAAATCGTGACTGCAGTTTCCTCGACCACTTTTAATGGATGAAATTTCATGTTCTGTGCTACCAGAGTGTAATGTAACTGAACCCCATTTACTTGTCTGGCATTCTGTTTCTTTTTCTCACTAATTGCTAATCAACGCGGATGGAGCCAGCTCACAAATGTGCCTTTACGCTGTTGTATTTGTCTTTCCGGTGCCTGTCCTCACACAGGGACTCCTGCAGGACACTGCGATACATCACAGTGGCCAGCGGGCCCATCGCTGCCTGTGCAGTGCTGTGGCAGTTGTTTGCCGCCTGTATTCTGACTTCCTCATCCTGCTTCGAGTGGGTGCAAACTCTGTAAGAAGCTGCCCCTGCAGAAAGGCAGAAGGCTTTCACACCAAGTACTTGCCACGCTCTTCCTGTCCTTGAACACGCTGGCCTTCAGGCCTCAGCACGTACAATGCTTGAAGCTGTCACCCAACTTGTCAGAAGAGAAAACACGGCAAGCCGGGTTGTCACGGCGCCCCTCAGTGATCATTTCAAGCCATTTGTTTTTCACGTGCAGGCTCCAGGCTCCTGACAGCCCCAGTGAGGTCATGGGCCCTCATGCAGGGCCAACTCAGGTCCAGGCCCATCTCAGAGCCATGGCACAGGCCGACTCCCAGTTCTCAGTGATCTCGCTGATTCCCATGCTATGTCTTTTTCCAGCTCTATCGTGCAGGGCTCACCCCAAACAGGAGGGTGGCCAGCTCGGGTCATCTGCTGTCTGTCATCAATCAGCCTGGGACAGGCTAAGGACTCTGAAAACCAAACTCTAATCTCACCTTCACTGTGGAAGGAATCATCGGGTTCCAGAGAAGTTATGGGATCTTGCTAAGGATTATCATCCAGGTATGAAGAAAGCCAACTGTCCGTGCCTGATCTGAAGGCTGCCAGATGCAGAATGCTCCGGAAACATGGGAGAAATGAAGAAAGCCAGGGGTCCAGTGTAGTTTCCCATGCAATAGCCCAGTCATCAGTGGGTCATTCATCCTGCCCTTCCCTTATTTAGTCAACAGCTGTTGACCCAGTGTCGGCCTCGTGAAGGGCGCGTGCAGGCACCAGGACAGCGTGGAGGGCAGCACTGGGAAGGAGCCGGGAGGAACGCAGTGTGTAACCAGCCCCTTGCTCTCAATGTAGAACCAAAGCATATGGATTACTTTAATTAATGGTAAGACGAATTTAAAAATAGTGTGAAAACCCAAGAGTGACAACCACAAACAAACCTTAAGTGCCAGAGAAGATAAAAGCAACAAAGCGCAGTCCACTGAGTGAAGAAGGAAGGGGAGGGTGGGTCCCTGCAGGTGTCAACGCCCCATCACAGGGGAAAGAGGAAAGAAAAGGATGGACACTTGTAGGTGTAGACACCCCATGGGACCCCAAAGAGCATTTAGGAAGCCACTTGGAATTGTTCACAATGCTGCCCTTCACACCCAGAGTTAGCACATCAGGTTAATCGGCCACAGCAAAGCAGAGAGAAAGAGGAGATGCCAATCCCAGTATTAGAACGGTAGAACCCAAGATCAAGCATTAGGTAAGGGAGGCACGGTCTGGAAGAGGCAGCAGATGCAGGAGGGACCAGGATGCGCTCCCAGAGAGCTGGACTCCACAGCAGGAAGCCCGCAAGACGGAGGGTGCTGACAGTAAGCGGAAACCCATAGGAACACAGATTTTGCCTGAGAAATTTGAATACGTATAAATCAGGACTTATGGATTTGGGGTCATATAATTGATATTTCTATTTATAAATAACTACATGTTACGTGTATATTACAGTTATAAACTATGCATAAAATTCTGTGTACTGTGAATAGTGAATAGTACAAATATCTTTTTGAATCACCCACAGAAAAGAGTAAAAGTGTGGCATAAGCTAGGACACAAACTAAAAGTTAAGCTTTTGACTAAAACGCAATAAAGATTACTCACTAATGTACAATGCAGCACTACTCTGCCGTAAAGAAGGACAAACTTGAGTCATTTGTAGGCCAATGGATGCTCATGGAGACCCTAACTCAGACACACAAGCTTAAATATCACATGGTTCCTTTTATATGAAAAACTCAGTATATAAAGTGTGAAATAAAAGATAGGCAATAGGAAAAAAGGGGAAAAGTTATTATAATTTTGCATGGACAGTATACAGTATCTAAAAGTGTACCTTGGTTTAGTATAATTGCTTTATGTTTTCTGGCCTATTAGTCTGGTTGTTAATCTGTATATGTGATAATTGAGTTTACAAGGACTTATAACTAAATCTGATGCTTGCAAAATAAAAGGGGGACAGATGGAACGGGGAGAAAAAGAATTGAGATGTGTTACATACTTGACCAATTTCTTACAATGAGTGTAATTGTTTTGTGTTGCAAACACACAGTAATAAAAATTAAAATTTTTTTAAGTAAAGGTAAAGACAATAACATCTAAATTATTATTTATAAAATGACAATTTCAGAAAATTTAGAAAATAAACAAGTGAGAATACATCAAAGCTATAGAATGATGCCAAAACTATGTTAAAGGCAGACAGACTTAAGTGACTTCATTATTTTAAAAAATGAGCAAATAAAGATATGAACAAAATGTTCCATCCAAGAAATTTTATAAAGAAATAATAAATCTGAGGATAGCCAAAAGGAAAAAATACAGGGTATTATTTTTTAAATTGTGTTAAGTTGTTTAAAGGAAAAATTAAAATGGCAAAGAGATTATAACTACACATATGCTGAACAATTTTAAATTATAATAGGATCAATACCTATAACAAATATGTACTAATAAAAATAAAACCAAAAATAATTTTTAAAATTTAATTAAATTATACCAGGATAGCAAGTATGATACTAAGTTAATAACCTTGGAAATCTCTGGGGAAAGGACAGCTTCCTGCCAAGATAAAAGCACCTCGAAAATCACAGAATAAAAATTGGGAGAATATTTTACAGAAATCTCTGATAAGAGGTACCTATAAAGGAAGATTTTTAAAAATAGATACCAGGAAACAGATGATTTCAATGATTAAAAAAGCTTCCAGAAGGCTCAGGAGAAGAACAAGGGCTTTATCAACTGGCACCACAGCAAGGATGCAGAACAGTGGCCAGAGGGTGAGCACAGCTGGGCTGTGCTTCCGTGGCAGCTGCAGGGTCTTCCTGGGCAAGGTGACCGGCCATGGCTTCCCTGGACACGTGGGCGACTCGGATGCAGAGGACCATCCCAGAACAGGACACCAGGCCTCGGTGGCCCAGAGGGAGCATAGAGAGGGAAGTGACCTTCGTGACCTTGGGAGGACACAGCCCCATGGTTGGTACGAGGGCAGTGAGAAGCCCATCGGCCAGATCCAGGACAGCCAGACTGAGAGACCTCGGATCATGCAGGCCATGGAGCCCAGGCTCTGGCGGGCAGCGGGAGGGACCTGCAGCACATCTGCCAGCTCCTTGCAGAGAGGCTCCTGGCTCATCCAGGCTCCACCCTCACCCTTGACCCTGGCAGAGCAGAGCTCTGGACTTTCACTTGTAGCCGTGCCTAGTGCATTCCACACACAGACGGACAAAAACACTTCTACATGATGCCACACGAGTCACTAGCCTTAAACCCTGAAGGAAACAAACAGAAAAAGAGGAGATGTTGTTTTCACAGGGACAGTGACGTATACTGTACCTACAGAAATCATGCACAAGGGCCTGGGGATATAGCTCAGTGGCATAAACGCCTGCCTGGCAAGTGCAAGGTCGTGAGTTCAATCCCTGGTACCGCAAAAAGAAAAGAAATCATGCACAAGACACCCACCAAGGACAGCCCAATCTGTGTTCTCGGAGTCATACTCTTCACCGCATTTGTAATGAAAATAAAAGCAGAGCTAAACTATCATATTCACAGCAAAACCTTAAAAAGTGCCCAAGCTCCAAGCTGTGAGAGTGCACGGCCCAGAGCCTTGCCTGTGTCCCTGGTGGGACTGGAGACAGGCCCTCTGGAGCCCCCCCAGACAGCCATGTCCCTTCCCTTTCCCAGGTGCTCAGCCTGCTCTGGCCTTACTGGGGCCGCAGGTTATTGTCCGTTTCCGTGATCCACACTCCCCAGCTCCTCCCCTGCAGCATGGAGAGATCATGGCATCACCTCCCAGTGGCAGGGTGGGGACATGGGACAGAGTAGAACAGTGCATGAACCCAGCCCAGGCCATGCTGCTGTGGGAAAGGACAGCAGGGTTTCACGGCTCAGCCCTGCTCTTTGTGCACACTGAACTCTTTTTTTTTAGTGAGCAACAAGAGTTCCTGACTTCTGCATTTAAGCAAGGCTCTAAGGATGCAAGATTCTTCCAAAGGGCTCCGAAAGTAGGGAGCCCCTGGGCCTGTCTCTCAGTGGCAGCAGCTCAGTGCTGCAGGGCCGCTGTGCGATGCTGGGGGCTCGTGGTGAGGGCGCAGCCTGGCCCACGCGGCTCTCCCCTGGGGACCTCCTGAGTTCCCGCGTTCCTGCCTCAGAGGGTGCTGGGTCCTCACGCCCCAGACAGCCACCAAGCTCCACGTGCGGCTGGGTGGGAGTAGGGAGAGGTCACTTCCACACCTACCTGGCTGGGCCGGAAATTTCCGTGCGCTGGGGGTGGGCTCTGGGGAGGCCTGCCAGCTCCTGGGCCATGATGCGCTGGGTGTAGTCATCCTGCCATGTGAAACCTGCAGGGAGAGGGGCACAGCCAATTACCATTCGGAAGTGTGGCCAAAGTCTTGCTTCAGTCTCACTTTCAAGGTGTTTTCCTGCACACTGGTGCTGCCACCCACTAACCAAAGTGACCTCACTGCAGATCACTTGAGAGATTTCTAGCAAGACCAAAAAAGACCCGCAGTGCTTTGCTGCTCGGCTTTTAGAAACAGACAGCCCGTCTGCTGCTGTCAGCAGCAGCAAGGATCCTTAAGCCAACGCGATGCAAGTTAGAAACGAGGTTCTGTCCACCAGGCACAGAAGCCAGGAGGGTTTGCTCACAGCAGGCTCCTCAGCCGCGAACGCACACCCTCGCCTGGGCTCATGGCCACGCGGTCTGCTCGCTGCAGCTCGGCGCCTGGCCTCCCCAACCCCATGCTGCCGGAGAGCCCAGCACTCGGATGGAGTGCAAGGTGTTGTTCCTGTGGAGCAATTATCGTGGGGCTTAATGTACTGTGTCTGGGAGCCAATTACACTATATTTACACTCAAATGTTATGACAAAGAGCTTTGGAACAAGGGTGAAGCAGTTATGAAGGCAAAATCCATGTGATTATGCATTAATTACATGCACTGTGGATCACATGATAATTATGCTCAGAATTACCAAATAACTCCCAAGAATAATTATTATGCAATTTGTACATTTTAGATCTTATGGTAACACTTTCGCACTTAGAACTACCCCATGCAATTATCCATAATTATCTAATCACTAAATATCATGTAATTACAGAGGTATATTTTTATGCCCTGTACAAAAACACATTACCAAAATCTTCAAAGCAGGATAGGCCTGTGCGTGTGTTCATGCATGTGCGTGCGTGTGTGTGTGTGTGTGTGTGTGTGTGTGTGTGGTAAGGAAGTCCAGAATATTCTGGATGGAATTAAAGGAGGTACTCAGTGGATATAAGTGGTTTTCATGAGCACACCTAAAATTTTTTCAAATTCAAATCTAATTTTTTTTTAGTTTAGATAGAGGATTCACACAGCGACCACACTCCTGAGTCCCACAGGCCCAGACGTGTAATTGCAAAGGAGGATGGCCTGTCTTGATCCCAGCTCGTTCTGAATGGCCCCCTTTGAAGTGTGACAGTGAAGAGTCCGTCACTGCGGGGGACAGTGTCACAGCTGCTGCTGCCCTGACTCAGGGTTAAACACGCTTCATAACGAGCGAGTCCATCTCGGCCCACTTATAAAACGCACACTCTCTGGAACACTTGTTCCATGGCTGCTCCTGGCCCATCCCAGGAGCATCCTCCATGGAAAGCAAAATGTTAGCACAGCAGCCAGCACTTGGGTTGAGAAAATGAGCCTGCTTTAAGCGCACCTTTCCCCAATGATAGCCTTATATTAATATTTATCAGGAAACAGCAAACCAAGGGCATAGAAGGAACTTTCCACGCAAACATTTTCATTTATAAAATTTAGATAACTGAAATTCAATAACATTTTCCACCTGAAGAGCACAAAAGCCTGAGCCGTGTTGATCTGGGGTCTGAGATAAGGGCTCCATCCTCCTGGACCACAGCTGGCTGGCAAGGAGGGTCTGCCCGGGTAAGTGGGCTGCAGAAGACTGCTGACTCCATGGCCCCAACTGTGGAACTGTCCAGACAACAGGAGGGAACAAGGACCTAGGGCTCTGAATCCCTGCAAATATCTCTGGAGGTGAGTCTCAGAGGAGATCAGGCCCTATGGAGAGGACTGGCTTCAGAAAGGGGGTTAAGTCGCACTTTTTCCTATTCCTCTGCTCCATGCAGTTAGAGGCCCTTGACCTAGGACAAGTGAAACTCTCCACGCGAGGAGAGAAGGTGGGAGGAGGAGCCTGGCCTAGGGAGTGGCCTGGGCCTCCCTTTGCCTCATGCCCGGCCTTGGAACCAGCAAAGCCAGCAACGCAGAAGCACCAGACTGGGCAGGAAGGTGGGCAAGGGCCAACAATGGCAGACACCCAGAAAAGACAGCGGCCCACCACACCAGCAAGGCTGAGAAGCAGCCTAGGCCTCCTTCCTCCCCAGACGCAGCGAGGTGCTAAAGATGGCTAAGCAGGGAGTCAGGATCTCACCACCCTGGACCAGAGAGACCCCTCGGGCTGAACCTCCCCTCCCTCTGCTGCCCTCACGTGTGGGCAGAAGTTGGGGGCAGAGGGACTGCTGCCTCTCCCTCCCACCCCTGTCACACAGTAGCACCTCCCCACACACCTAGCAGAACAGTGCAGAAAAGCCAGAGCAAGCATCAAGTTTCAGTGAAATGCAGGTTGGGTGTGGTGGCTCTTGCCTGCAATCCCAGCACCCAGGAGGCAGAGGCAGGAGGATGTGAAAGAGAGCACTCCGGAGCTCATGATAGAAACAGCCCTTTCCATGGGACTTCTCTAAGTAGGACAGCCTCCATTCTAAAGAATTTGTTCTTTTTGACCTCTTTAAAGGACTAATACAGATTTTTAAAAAGAAAAAGACAAAGGATTAATGCAGAAAGTGATTGCAACCAAAATAATATGATTTTGTTAGTAATTCAACCCCATAGGGCTAACATGTCACCTCGAACATCCCAATTGGTGCGTCATGATAACAAGACAAAGAACAGATTAGCAGCAATGCTTCCAGAACGTGGGAGATGTTTTAAGATGCAGGAGGCGGGTGAAGCCTCAGAGGAAAGCCACAGGTGGTCGACACCTGCCAGGTGGTCATGGGTGGTGGAGCGACAGAAGCCCTTGCAGGCCCTGGATGACTCAGGAGGAGGAATCAGCCAACTTCCAGTTTGATTGGCTTGGGGCCCTGCTACTTCTGCTCAGGACACTTGGCCAGCAGTGAGCCTGGAGAAATGCCACCATCAGGCAATGGTGAAGGCAAGGGCACACCACGGGCACATGCCAAGCTCTGAGATGTGCCTGGCCGGTGGGTCAGACTGGAAGGCATGTAGACCTGGGACAAAGGTTCCCAGGTACAGAGGAGCTCCTCTGTGGGGAAGGCTGCAAAGAGCAAGGGCAGAGGAAGGAAAAAGGCACCTCAAGCAACCTCTCAGCATCTCCAAGATCTGTCCCTCCCATCCTGCTGGCAGTGCATGCTCCCCTGCACACCAGACATCCCTCTGGACACCTCATACGCACAACAAAGAGGGACACTGTGGCCCACATTTCCAGGTGGGAAACTGAGGCACGGAGACAGTGCACAGAGGGTTGAGCATGTTGTGCAATGGATAGTCCCGGATCTGGCAGGGGTGTGGGTAGGGTACAGACAGACCGTGTGTGTTCTCAACTGTGTGCTCACAGGCCACTGCTCTAGAGGGTGCAGGAGGTAAGAGAGAGAACCTTTATCACCACAGTTATGATTGTTACTGAGATGACAGAACTTTAACAAAATTACAACTTTTTACTTCCAACGGTGAAGAAGTAGGCATTTCCTTGAAAATACAAGAAAATGAGTGAGTCTTCAATGTGCTTTTGAGACAGAAGTCTAAAGTAAAGGCCACGCTCAAATGCCACAGGTGGGAACAAGGTGGGGCATGCCGGGGGCATGTGGCTCTCCTGACACGTGTGGTCTGGGAGTAAGAACCTCTCTTCTCCAGCAGACGCCCCCACTCCTGGGCTCACACGCAAGGCTTGCTAGAGACCACTGCCACCTTCCTGTGGGCTCTCCTTGAAGACACAAATCAAGCCCCAGCTCCCTGACAGGGGGCGGCTGAGCTGCAGGACAGGAGGGAGCAGCTAGGCCAGCTCCACGCAGTGGATCCCCAGGGACAGCCAGTGCTTCTGAAAGGAAGCTGGTAGGAGCAGAACTCTTCTCCAGATACTCCAGAGAAGGCTATTTACTGGAACACAAATTTTAAAACGTTTACAATGAATTCAAAATTTTCAAAGCATTGTTTGGGACTGAACAAACAAAACCAACGTGAAAACACACTATACAGTCAGAAACATTCACACACCACGCAGGCACAGATCACACACACATATGACCACACACACCACCACAGAAAGAACAAAAGAAAGAGTCTTAAAAAGAAAAGCAGTAGTTCTGGAAAGAGAAGTTCATTTTCTATGTTGAACCTTAAACCTAATTCTTCTGGTTTCTGCCCTTTTGTGCTTTCTGAAATGATGCAAAATATGTTTATATTCTGAGCTACAGTCTTGGTATTCTCTTTCAAATTGACATCACCTGACGTTTAGCACTATATCATTTTCAACCAGTTAGAAATTTGCCTTGATAATATGTTCACATAAAAGACAATTTCAATAGCTTTCCTACGTGTAGGAAAAATACAAACAATTCATTTATTCTTAAAGTGCTTGTGGGAAATTTTTCTCAAAGGGAAAAAAGGCAAATTATTGATAGGAAATCGAATACATTTTTAACTTGATTATAAGAAATACAGAGATTAAAGGGCTTTGAAATCACGGTGGAAATGGTATGAAAATAGAACGTGGGAAACAACTCCCTATGGGGCTGAAACTGGAACCCTAAGCACAGAAGGGGGAGCAGCACGTCCAGAGCCTGGTGTAGGCCACAGTCTCGGGAATTAGGAGGAACAGCGGAAATAATGTACTTGTCCCCGAGAGTACAAAAATGACAGCACAGGGACACAAGAGAGAAACTCAGTGCCCTCCTGGGACCCCTGGACTCTTGGGCATCAGGGGCTGGACTGACAAAATTATAGCCTTCCTCCCAGTATAAAGAACACAACCCCCTCAGGGCTCCAACCTGCCCACCGAGGCCAAGCATTCACATCCCCTGGGCCCAACGATCAGTAAGTGAAGTGAGTTTGTGAACGATGAAGAACTCAGAAGCCAGAACGATAACCAAAGCCTCCATGTCCTGGTTTGAAATACAGAAACAGGACCTCAAGACCATGAGCACAAAACCAGCTCCAGGACAGGTGAGCATGTGTGTCTCAGCAGCAAATCAGGGCCAGGCTCAGGACAGGTCACAGAGAAGACCTCTCCCTCTCATCTCACAGACACTCCCATCTCCCTGAAAACAAAA